ATAATAATACTGGAACGCGCACGGCCCATGCCGCCTTTGTTAAGAGCTGATCCGAGAGAGAGCATTCAAAGTGGTATCTTTATCCTTTTCCAAACTATACTGCGCATGTGCAATAGACGGTAGTGGGGCTCGTACAGTCTCGTTCTAAGATTAAATACAATGCGTGAAACTGGGTGTGCCGTATAAAACTTTTGGCCAGATTGTACTAGAAAGAGACACAGATACCACTTAGGAGCCTCTTTGTCGGATCACGATCTAGCGCCCGTGCGCGTTCCAGTATTATTTCAGTGGTTAAGCGTGATTCGGACCGCGGCCATAGTGTCTCTACCATCTACCAACGTTTTGACGATGTAAACTAGGCCAGTAGAAAACGCTATATTTCACGCCTGCGCACGTTTGCTTCTTTGTGATAAAGCTTAATCTATATTCTTATTATATCGATGTCCAAATTGACGATTGACAGTACGACTGCGAATACTGCGATTCTTTGCTAAAAGAATTAATTTTCTGTGTTTTCAAGTGGTGTAAAATTTTCTAATGAGGAAATTAGATTGTCAAGAGCAATGGGGAGCCGAAAGATTAGAAGCTCAATTAGAAATTGCTCGCGATGGGCTTCGTGGTCTCGATCGCAGCATTCGTAAAATCTTGGGCCGAGATCTTCCTGACGGCGAAAGTGGTCCATTACAGTCTAGGTTATATTAAAAAATCTTTATTTTCTAAATTCATTCATATGAAATAATTAAAAACTTTTTAAAATTCCGTATTAACTGTCATAAAATGTTTTATTATGATGTAATATATTGTAATATTATATGTATGTAATATTTTCATTGCTATGAGCTTTCTTGTATTTTATATAACCTTTATTGACGTACTACTTGTATTTGTTTTATTTATCTCACGTTAATGTTAATTATATCACATTTGTATTATATTTTTATTATATACATGTCAAATAACATATTCATATATTTTTATTAGATATAGTTTTATTAAATATAAAAATTTTGATTTAATTTCTTCTTTTCTAGAATACCTCAGAAACGACTATTGCAAGAAGATCGTCGAAGAGTTATAACAGAATTTGCGAATAATGAATTATCTGGAGGCAAACGACGCTGGCAAGTTTCCAATGTGGAACCAAAAACAGTTTTCAGTCGATTAAGTGCACGTGTTCCATCTACTGCAGATGACAGTGCTGATGAAGACGACAGCATTACTAAGGTAATTTATTTATACATGAGATGTGATAATAAAGTTTTGAAAACTATTTTGGTTCCATCAAAGTGACAACACTATAAACCATTTTATTGCAATATCATCTGTGACTTTTCTATCTACATGTAAAGGGTAAATATTAATCGTTTCAATTATTGTACAAGTTGATTTATGTAGTGACGTGTTTATGTTCTATTGCGAGAAAAATGGAACGCCATTTATAACAAAGTTGTGATAAAATTTTTGCTGAAAAAACAAATAGTCTGATTAACTTATAAATAGTATACTTAATAATTCGCCACTTTTTACCAAAAATTTTATCAATTTTACTTTAAATTGTGTTCTATTTTTTTTGTAGCTTAAAACAGAAACATGTCTTTACAAAAATACAACTTATACATATACTGACTAAAGCAATTAACAATGTTTATGTTCACGTACAGGTAAAGGAAAGTTTAGACTACACAGCAGTGAGAAATTATGGCAGTGAGGTTGATTACAGTGTTGTCACTTTAGCAAAGATTATTTTTGTATTCAGTTTAATGTGCTTTACTTATCCATGAATGGTGATCCTTGAATTATGAAATATCCTGTGTATGTATGTGTACGTGTGTACGTATGTAATATATACATATATGTCCCTAAATATTTTTCTCCTACACTTACAAAAAAAAGTACAGACAAAAGTCGTATAATTTGAAGGGAGATAAATAATAGTAAAATCAATTTTCCACATTAAGATTATCATTTTAAAATAGTTTTGAGATTTCTCTTTTACATAATATGATTCTTCTAGTTATTTTGTACATACAAGTACTTATTAAAAAGTTAATGAGATATTCTATAGGTACTTCATTCTGACACATATTGATATCAGTTATAAAATATCTCATGAACAATTTATTTTTTAACTGTATCTTTATATTTTCACAGACCTTATATTGCACAGACTAATGAGATAAATCAATTCATGTAAAGAAAATGCTTAGTTCTTCAAAAAAGTCAAGTAAAATATGTAATTGCATATTGTAAATTGCATAATTTTTTTGCAAAGCAATTGTGTTTTCCACCTCAATTGATTTATCTCATTAAAAGTAAGATTATCAAAAATGAATAATAAAACGATGCTGACAGAACGGAATTACCAACACATTACAGTCGTAATGATTTTTCTGAAATGACAGAACGGAATTGAAAATCCTTTTACAGGATTGAAATAGATATAAAATGTAAGCAAGATAACGAATTTGTAGTAAAAACGAAAAAAAAATTTTTTTTTCGGGTCGTACAGCTGTCATTTGACGTAAACATTTTATTAGTAGAAGAAGAAATTTTATTTCCTTTAGCAAATTTTAACCAGAAAGGGGACTTGGTTTACAATATTGCACTTAACCATTCACTCATCCATACCATACATACATTTACTAAACCTATTCCTTATTCCTATTTCTTATACCTATTTTTAACACCCTACCATATAAATATTTTAACCTATTTAACTTCAATTTTACATAAATCTTACTTTTAACATTTTTACATATAATACATATAAATAAACGGCTTTCCTTTGCAATCTATGATCTACTTTACATTTTTACATTCTTACATTTTTACATTTTCCATTTAAATTTCACGTTTAACTAACATTTTTAACTTTTGACCTTTCACATTTCACATTTACAGTTAACATTTACACTTACATTACTGTATCCACAAAATTTACATTCCCTTTTCACTTTTAGCACACGCCTTATATTTACATTTCCTTTTACACATCTCTAAATTACACCTTATCCTTTCTTTTTAATTCTAATTCTCTGTTTCTAGCCTTCCATAATTTCTTTAAAACTCTCCCTTTAGAACTGTCTAGTTTATCATTCCATAACCAACTTATATTTACATCCTCTCCGTTCCCTTCTTCATTAAATTACTCCTTTGCCACTCTGCATTCCTTTACAAAATGCTCCATACGAGCTTCACCTTCACTACATAATATACACGCCCGGTTATCCTCCTCTAGCCAGTACTTATTTGCCTGTTCCAGATTTCCACACCGTAAATTAATCAGAGTCCTTATCTCATCTCCTTTACTCATATTATCCAAATTTTCTTCTTTCAAATACCTCGTCATACTCTCTAAAATTCCAATCTCCCTATACTTTCTGTTATATTTTGCTCTTTGAATTTTTCTCTCTTCTTGCCTTTGTATATCTCTCTTCCTCGATATTAATTCGCTCTCTATTCCCCTACTTTTATCCTTTCTTGTCTCCATTCCCACTATACTCCATCCATTCCTATTATAGTAACTTTCTTTTTCTATCCCGTACCTATCTTCCCATCCGTATGCATCTTTCTCTTTCCAGCATTCCAAAGCTATTTTGCCTGCTCTCCCTTCTCTTATTCTTTCCTCATATCTCCTCGCTCTTATTCCCCAACCTATTTTAAGCTTATCCATCCTTAGTTCCCTAGATATAATATATCTTGGCGTACAGAATTCCAATCCAAAAATCCATCTCACGTAATTAAACATAATTTTCTCTAACTCTTCTTTTTCTTCCCAACCCCATATTTCGACTCTATAACCTATCACGCTCTGCACTAGATACCTGAATAGAGTCCATCTTCTCTTAAAATCATTTCTACATATTCTTTCTCCTAAACCCCATACTTTCCTTACCACCAATCTCCCTTTCCTTCTCATTTCCTTTATATGCTCTTTATAATTACCTTTGTTATTTATCATGAAACCTAAGTATTTGAATTCTTGTACCTCTTCAATTGTTTTACTCTCCCACGACCATTTCTCATACTTCTCTTTCCTTTTTCTATTAAACACCAGCATTTTCGTCTTATCTACACTTAAATCTAGATTTCTTTCTTTCACAAATTTCTTCATAGTCCCCATCATATCCTGCTTCATATATCGCTTCCCTATTATTCGCAAGTATGACTACATCGTCTGCATACGCTAGATTCCATATTCTACTGTTTCCAATTTTTACTCCGCCTATCCCCCTCTTTTTCATTTCCTCCTCTAGTCTCGCCGTATACAGGTTAAACAAGAGTGGACTCAGTACGCATCCTTGCCTTACTCCTTTCTTCGTTCTGAACGCCTTCGTGAAGCCCTGTCTTGTCCTCACCACCACCTCCGTTTCTTCATATAACTTCTCCATTCTTTTCACCAGATCCTCTACTATACCCCTTCCTCTTAGCTCTTTCCATAATTTATTCCGATCGACATTGTCGAAAGCCGCCTTCAAATCCGCAAACATCATGTATAACTTTTCGTTTTCCCCCCCTCTTCTCATCTCCCTTTGCATCAGGTGCAGTAGAACAAAAATATTATCCAGAGTTGATCTTCCAGCTCTAAAACCAGCTTGTCCCTCCCGTATTAACTCTTTTATTGCCACCTCCACTTCTAATCTGCTTCTAAGCACCTCTGCATAAATCTTGTACGCCGTACACAAAAGAGATATACCTCTATAATTTCTGACTTTTTCTTTGTCTCCTCTCTTGTATAACGGCAACACAATACTTTTCTTCCAATCTGTTGGGATCGACCCTACTTTCTATATCAACCTGATTAAATCCATTAACTTTTTCTTAAGACCTTCATCTGCATAAATCCACGCCTCCATTGGAATCCCATCTATACCTGCAGCCTTCTTTTTCTTTATCCCTTTTATGGCTCTTAATATTTCCACTTCCTTAATCTTCTCCTCTTCTCCATCCCTTACTGCCACTTCTTTATCACTATCTTTTTCTTCGGTTTCCTTTTCTTCCAACTCCAAGCCCTCCAGCAGAGCCTTGAAATGACTTCTCCATTCTCCTCCCTACATTATTCTCTATATTCATCCTCTTGCCTCTCTTCTTATTAATAAATTTCCAGACTTCCGTTTCATTCTTCATTTTCTTCAAATCCTCCTCTTTCTCTTCTCTTTTTTCTTTTTGCTTTTTCTCTAACCATTTTCTATATAATCTTCTCTCCTCCATATAAGTTTC